GCACAAAATAAATTTTTTTATTACTAGAAAATCAAATAACGAAAGCAAGATACAATAATTCACTTTCAAGAGGTTTTTCTCTCCCAAACACTAGACGCCGTTAGGGTCCCTCATAAAAGAAAATTACAGCAAACACTCACAAGAAAATTCTACATACCAAACATAACATAAACCCTACTACTTATAGCGAACAATAAATAACAGATACCAAAATAACCCTCTCCTAATTTCCTCTCAAATCAACTCCCAAATCTGCCCTCTCTAATTATGAAACATCTACTAATTAATCCCTCCAAATCATCCCCCAAATTTTCCCTCTTTAATTAGAAAATATCTCCTAATGAATCCCCTCCAAATCAACTCTCAAATCTACCATATTTAATTAGAAAACATCTCCTAATAATTAATCCATCCACATTAACCCTCAAATTTATCCTCTTTAATTAGAAAACATATCCTAGTTAATCCCTTTCTCAATTAGGAAATCCTTTCATAATTAATTCTCTCCTTAATTCCTCTCCTACCATAAGTAATTGTTTGTTTGTTGGGCCCCAAGGGAACCGAAATTTGTCTAGGTTCATCCCCCACCGAGGGAGCCAAAATCTGTCAAGGTTCATCCCCCAACAATGGAGCTGAAATCTGTCTAGGTTCATCCCCCTACTAATGGTATCTCGACTTTAGATCCATCTTGGTGAAAACCACTACTTCCCATAGCTCATTCAGTAGCTCATCGATCACTGGTATGAGAAATTTGTCCGACATGGTCTATTTATTCAAGGCCCGGTAGTCAACACAAAATCTATAGCTTCCATCCTTCTTCTTGAAAAGCAAAACTTGACTAGAAAAAAGGATCACACTCGGCCTGATGATTTTCGCCTATAACATCTCTTGGATCAGCTTCTCAATCTCGTTCTTCTTAATCTGAGGGTAACGGTACAGTCAGACACTAATCGGAGAAACCCCTCCCTTTGGGTGATGGCGTGCTCCTTCTCCCATGGTGGTGGTAAGCCTTGAGGTGACTGAAAGACCTCATTGAACTGTTTTATGAGTAACTGCACTAAAAGGGGAATGCCCCCTCCTATTATGATCCCTTCTAGACTCTGTAGTTTTACTAAGAATCATCCTCCCACCTCTTGTATGGTCCTTACCATGATTTTGAGAGACACCATAGCTTTGGACAATCTTGCATCTCCCCTGATCACCACCCTTCTTTCCTCCACCACCAGCTCCATCGTTAGTGCTCCCCAATTGACCTTGGTATCTCCCAAGATCTGCAGCCACTTCTTCCCCAAGATGACATCACTGCATCCTAACTCCAATTGAAGAAAATTTTCCCTCACCACAACCCCCTGCATTGTCTGCACAACTCCTCTACTCACTCCTCTCCCCATCTCCACCTTCCCAGTGCCCATCATCACCCCATAGCCTCATATTTTCACCAATTTCACCTCCAACTTTTCAAAAACCTGCTTGGATATGAAATCGTCAGTAGCCCCACCACCGATTAGCAACACCACCTCTCTATTTGCTATTTCTCCTTTCACTTTCATGGTGTGATTCGGGGTGAACCTCACGACTGAGTTTAAGGAGACTTCGGCCATGACAAGATACAACTCTTCCTCCTCTTCCACCACTGCCCTACTCTCACCTCCCTCTTCAGCTTCCTCGTCATCACAGACGGTGATAACCTTAAGAGTTCGTTCCTTACACCTGTGCCCCGGTGTGTATGTCTCATCACATCTAAAGCATAATCCCTGCATCCGCTTCTACTACAGCTCGTTCTTAGTGAGTTTCTTAAAATTTCTCCCAAATTCCTCTCCTACAGGCTTCTCCTTTGGGGTCTCACGAACGTTTCTCAGTGTTGGTGCTTTATGAGCTAGGAATGTGGTGGTCATCTTGTACGGGCCTCCTGAACTGTTGCCTCTGGCCCATCATTCCAGGTGTTTCTGGTCCTCCACTAACTGTGCTAGGTCCATAACCTCTCCCAAGTCCCAAGGCACATCACTCTAACCGCTTCCTATATCTCTAGTTTAAGTCCTTTTAAGAAGTTCCCCTCTAACACAGTATCTAAAAGGATGTCCAAACGGCTAGCGAGATACTCAAATATCTCCCGGTACTCTACCACTGAACCCTCCTATGTTAGGGTGAAAAATTGCTCATAGAAGTCTCCTCCACTGTTGGTTCGAAAAATGTTCCAACCAGCAATCATTAAACTTTCTCCAACTCTATATGGATCGTCACATGTCCATCGATTGGTATCAAGCCTAGGTCTTCCCCTCCAAACATAGGTCCTCTACCATCAGCCTCTCATCTTCGTCAAATCGCTGTCGGCGAAATACCTCTCCACCTTGTAGATCCACCCATGCGCATCATCTCCCTCAAAGATGGGCATCTTCAGCTTCCTCACTTTTGGATCGCCTCCGTTTCCCGTGAATCCTCCATAGCCTTCCATTCCATGAAAGGGAGGTGCTCCCCAGATGTCCCGATCTTCCCTTCTGCGCTCAAACCAAATCCTTCTTCAAAATCCCCCCTCCTTAATAATCATCACCACAATGCTCATAATCTAGTCCTCTTCTTTTAGAATCAACACCCCTTCGCTCGTACATGATACTCATCCTCCCTAGAAATAGGCTCTAGCTGAGGCATCGCGTCTTCTCCCTCCAGAAACTCCACCTCTTGATTCTCTCCTTTCCTAAACGAATTAGGGTTTCCTCCTCTTGCGTGGCCACTATTGGCTTCCTTCATTTCAGATGTCATCGTATTGGGTTTTGGCTTCAAGCAACTTCTTTAGTTTGTCTTCCACGACGGTGAACTTTCCATCCATCTTTTCATGCATGGGATGCAAATATGTTTTGAAAATCTGAATTTTTTTATTCTCAAAATCTGATTTCAATTGGCCTAATTCTCTCTCCAACACTTCTACTTTCCTTCTGGCCATTGGTACCCTAGATTGAAGGGCTCTGATACCAATTAGATAGGAAATAATAATAATAATAACTGTGAAAAAAATTGTACTGAAATCATAAATTCAGCACTTCCTCGAGCCGATTTTGAGAATTTTGTAGAGAAATAACAAGGAGGCACTTAGTAGATGCAAGAAAACAAGCAAAGTACAACGAATCTTCAATTCGAGGGGAAGATCCGACTCTCTCAATTCCTAGCCTATGACTAGAGCCCAAGCAATCTCGAAGATATCTCAAATTTCAGACCAAATTCAAGTTAAAACAAACCCTAGGGAAAGAAATCTACTTAAAGCAAAAATAAATTTAACTAATCCCTAAATAACCCTTAATTTTGAATTTTCCCTCCCAAAATCATCCATAATTAGTACTTAATTACTTCCCCTTGCTGGGCGGAACTTTATTTACTTTTATCTTAAATTATATGTGGTTGAAGAAGGTCCAAGAAATGTGGTATTGAAATACCAAACATTATATAAACAATTCCAAATAAAAGTAATGCTCTTTATTATCGTGGATCCAAGTTATAATGAATAATTTTATGTAAATTCATTGATGCTGCATTGATATTTCAATATGACCTAAATTTAGGCCAATCTCATGGTATGGAATCAAAGGTTCGAAATTTAATAGAAATTGCATACCTTTTGCTCTATTGCAACTTATGTGATAAATAAAAAGGGATAGATTGAAGCCCCCCATTTTGCTGCAGCAAAGGTTAGAAAAAATAGTTTTTTCTGTATTATTAATCATGATTGCTTAAAAGATATCAGATGAGTGGAGAATGAGTGTGTTAATTCATATTTTTAAGAATAAAAATGATGCACAAGATTGTGCGAATTATTGCTTTAGTCATGGATGTTCTCATTAGACATTTGCAAGAGGATGTACCTTGGTGTATGCTTTTTGCTGATGATATTCTTCTTGTTGATAAGACTAGAGAGGGAGTTGAAAGTAAACTTGAATTATGGAGGTCAACGTTAGAGACTAAAGGTTTTCACTTGAGTAGATCTAAAACGGAATATATGGAGTGTAATTTTAGTAGTAATAGACCTAGTGAGGGGATTGTGACTTTGGGCGATCAAGTCATTAATAAGAGTACACGTTTTAGATATCTTGGATCTATTGTTCAGAGTGATGGTGAAATTGATGGAGATAGAAGTGGAGGAATGCATCGGGCTTTTTGTGTGATAGAAAAGTACCCCTCAAACTTAAGGGAAAATTCTATAAGATGGTAGTGATGTCTGCAATGCTTTATGGTGCTGAATGTTGTCCATTAAAAGAGAAGCATAATACTAAGTTAAGTGTGGTAGAGATGAGGATGCTCAGGTGGATGAGTGGCTTTACCCTTAGAGATAGGATTCGAAATGAGCATATACGTGAAAAGGTTGGAGTAGCTCCAGTAGAAGATAAGATTAGAGATAGTCGCCTTAGATGGTTTGGTCACATAAAACGGCGGCCTTCCAATGACCCGGTTAGGAGAGTAGAGGTATTAGATTTGACTTATGTTAAGAAAGGTAGAGTCAGACCTAAAAAGACTTGGTTAGAAAATATTAGGAATGATTTTCTTTATTAGATTTAAACGAGAATTTGACCTTTAATAGGACACAATGGAGAAAAAGGATTCATGTAGCTGACCCCACGTAGTGGGATAAAGGCTTGATGTTGTTGTTGTTGTTGTATTAATCATGATTGCTGCGGACTTATAATTGATAATGATGTTACACTACTTATTATTAAACATGATTGCTGGGGACCTATAATTTATAATGATGTTAGACTACTTATTGACAATTTAATTAAGTTAATGTATTTTTTTGAAGTTATGAAAATTTGTTTCAGTTTTAACTCTCAACTTTCAAACGTGCTTTTTCTTGGCTTAAAGGGCTTCTCTAAAAATACTTTATTTTTTTCCTTATTTTCTTATTTCTTTTCTAATATTCTACTGTTCATATCATGAGATAAATACTGGAAGAAACATTTAGTGTTATACCCTAACCAAGTTAAAAAGGATCATTTTTTTGCTTGTTTTTATTATAGGTACTTTGAAAGCATGAAGAGGGACTATGGAATGGTACCTAATATGAAGCATTGTGCTTGCATTGTTGATCTCTTTGGTCGATCTGGGAGGCTTGATAAGGCTGAGAAATTCATAATGGATTCTGGCTTTCAAGATGATCCCATTGTGTGGCGATCATTGTTGAGCTCCTGTCGAATTCATCATGACATTGAAAGAGGCAGACAAGTGGCAGAGAGGTTAATGCAGCTTGATCCCAATGCTTCTGCTACCTATGTCATTCTCTACAATATGTACTTGGATTCTGGTAGACGATCTATGGCTTTAAGAACAAGAGAGCTAATGAAAGAAAGAGGGGTGAAAAAGGAACCTGGACTTAGTTGGATTGAGATGGGAGGATCAATTCATTCTTTTGTAGCAGGTGACAAGATCCATCCCCGAAGACAGGAAATATATGCATGGCTGGAGGAGATGATTTCAAGGATAGAGAGGCTGGGTTATGTCAGAAATGCAACTTCAGAGTCAGATGATTTAGGCTTAGAGAAGAAGGTGAATTTGTTAAACTGTCATAGTGAGAAGTTGGCAGTGACACTTGGAATATTATCATTGCCAAAAGCAGCTCCCATCAGGGTGATGAAAAACTTGAGGGTGTGTGTGGATTGCCACACAACAATGAAGTTATTCTCGGCAGTTGAAGGAAGAGAGATTGTGTTAAGGGACCCAATTCGATTTCATCGGTTTAGAGATGGTTCATGCTCTTGTGGTGACTATTGGTAGCTGGATAATAACATGAGTGATACATTACACCCCACCCCAAGTTGTTCTGCCTTGAGTGCCACCAAGAGGGAGTAGTAGGTTGGGGTGTCAAAAATTGACACGACCCGAAATCCGACCCCAAAAATATCAGGATTCGGGTCAAGCCGTTTTTGAAAAGGGTCGGGTTCTGATTTCTGACCCGTTTGAAAAACGGGTCTGGTTCGGGTTAACCCAACAACCCGCGGGTCGACCCGAACCCGATCCGTTGACCCGAATTGACACCCCTAACTGGTAGGAGTGGGAAACTGGCCGTTGCAAGCTTATTGTGAACGTATGTTTATCCTGATCCTTCAACTTTTAAAATGAAGGGTTTAGTCTGCAACCGAGTTGTTAACATAGAGATTACTGAAGTCTTTGAACAGAATTAGCATTCAAAACTTGTTGGAAATTTGATTGGAACCATACAATATCAGTATCGCAATCTGACAACCATCAGTAACAGAGCATAACTTGTTTTGAGATGGTATTAGAGATGTTTCTAAAACAAATTTACTTGACAAGGGAACAAAATAAAAAGGTAATGAATGTTTATGAAATATTTTCCTCTTCCTATTTTTACAAAATCATTCTTATGGAGGTTGCTGCAATGAGCAGTAAGAAGTGATTGTTTCATCTTACACTCTTGCATGTAACCAGGCTTTACCCAGTAAAAAGAGTACGATACTGTGGAATTCATTCATAAATAATACAGGCTCTCATTCTTTTTTATTTGTTAACATATGACATCATTTGTTCTGTTCTAACTGATTATGATAACTTATGAGAGGCAAGCTTTCAGCTATCAACTCTTATAGGGAGAAATGTGTATTGCTTAAGATACCTCTTGATGGATTTCGACTTTTTATTCTGTGCGGACACTGGATGGAGAGAACCGTCCGGTTTTCTCTGTCTACAATAAAAGCGTAGTCAAAATGTAGCTACTACAGTAATTGCGTTTTTATTGTAGACAGAGAGAAAATCCGGACAATTCTCTCCGTCCAATGTTCGCACAGAATAATCTCTCCTCTTGATGAGATGCAAATGTTGGATTGTTGCTTGTGTCTTGTTTTTGACCATTTTATTCACACATCTTACTTCTGCTTTGAATGGAAACATAATGGTTTAATCGATTGAGAAGGTTGGACTATGCCTAACTTCAGCTTCCCTTACATCTGTTTTGAATTACTATTTTCTTCGTCTAGACAGCTAGTGAGAAGTGTTTTTCACAAAAAACTTTACCCATGTAAGTTTTAATGCTAATTTTGATGGTAGTTGTCAGGTGTCTACCCTCCTCGTATCTTCAAGTGAATGACTATTGTTAAGTTTTTATGGCCTAACCATTACTAACTTCAACTTAATATCTTTTCTTCATGCTTTAGCTGGCTGACTTTGTTGCAAGTTTCTGTCACGGCTAGATGCATTCATGCCGGGTTTCGTGAAGATGCTCAATTTAATAGAAATTTGAAGGTGTATATTTGTCAGAAGCACAACAGTTGAACTTTATATTGTTTTGTGTTTAGTTTGCATTGTATTTTCTTTTCATTTTTTGATAGAAGATGCATATGATGTTGATCCTATTGAAAAAGCATTTTGTTCTCCAATATTTTAACTTTCACTTTAGGTTTGGATAGCTTTAGTAAGAGTCCAATCTATGTTTCAACTGATTGAGGAGATAATGATAAGGATTGAACAGATGCAGAATCAGATTTTTCAGTCACATCAGTCTAAACTCGAGCAGTTGCAGCCTACATTACACATAATGGGCAAGCACAGCAGGAAGACTGATTCAAGACTCAAACTCCCAGAAGTTACTTCCCCAGTATCTCCAGCAGACAAAGACATTCACCAAATGATTGAAACTCAGGTAAGGGAGGTCCTAGCTCATTCTCAAGGAACTATATCTACTCCTAAGGGTAGACCCTACCTGAGGAATATGATTTAGTTCCTTATCCGAAGGGCTTCGTGCCACCTTTTAAAGTTTTTAGTGGTTTAGAAAATCCGAGACAACATTTGACCCATTTTCAAGCAGATTGAACTCATCTTCGTGCCACAATTTTTACATGTGCAGTTTTCCTTCAAGTATTAGCAATTGAACTCAAATAAGTTCATGTACTCGATCACTTGTATAATGCCTTGCCTAAGAATTATCAACTGTCATGCAACTTTATATCATAGTTTTTAGGATAATACTTAGCCCTTAGCATGTGATGCTCTAAGATCTAAATTAGAAAATTTATATCTTTTTATCATCTAAACATCAGTCAGAACTTACTAATTTCATAAACATAATATAAACAAAAAAAATAAATAAATACATTTATGTTCATTTTATAATTACACCTTGATCTAGAGTTCCTAAAATAACACATATATGATAATCATAATGTAGCCAAAATCATCCGGAGTTCCTAAAAAATTTGTATACAAAATAATTTGCTTTTCAAAACAGTAAAAAAATTATCCAAAACAAAGCCTAAAAATATTATGATCGAGTTTTTATTTTTCTTTTCTTAAATGATCATGTTTTTCCCCTTTTCGGGCTTCAAATTGACTTACCATTGATGAAATAGACTTTACTTATTGGTTCATAGAACACATATGTAGCATTTTTGAATTAAATATAAATTAGCTCAATAAATTCACCATCATATTTTCTAGAAGACAATAATACAAGTAATACATGTGGCCCCCATCATCTAAATTATATATATCTAAAACTATTTTTTTGGACCCCACAAGTGGGAACTTTTATTTTATCCAGTGAACGTACGCTCCTCTACGTTCGGTTTAGGCAAAAAAAAGCGCCTGTACCGAGTACCGAGTTTTTTCAAAAAACTCGGTACAGACGCTTTTTTGCCTAAACCGAACATAGAGGAGCGTACGTTCACTGGATGTAATAAAAGTTCCACAAGTGGACCCCACAAACTCTCTCCATCAAATAAGAATTGATGGCCACAATTTAAAAATGTGTGCTCTCAAAGCCCTTTGATTTTCAAAAGGTTTGTGCTCCACCAGTGGCTATGTGCCTCAAAGGCATCACCATCATTATCTCTCCTCTTTTCACACGATTCCATTATGTTAATAATTCTTGTGGTCGCAAAAGAAAATACATCCGTTAAAGCTTATCTTATATAATTCGTATAGATTTCTTTAATACATGAAAGCATGGAGCACCCACTCTTAGCCTGATCACTTTCTTGTGCTCTACTGACGATATTAAAATGGAGCACTGAGGGTTCTTTCCAGAGGCTTCAAGCTCTGGTGAGGTAGGTTTTGAAATGGACTTGAATGATTGAGGCGCGTTTAGTTGGAGATCTAGTAAAAATCAACAGGTGCCCTATCTAAGATTATTTTGATTAGTTTTGATGAAGGTTTGATTATTCAGAAAATTTTTAATGAAAAAAAAGAAACGGATCACTGCATATATATTTATATGAATTATTGTCTTTGTTGTGTAATGGAATATTTGCGGCAGTAGAAAAATACGTTGAAATCCTAAAAAGGGGAAAAATCACGAGGTATAGCACAGTTTGAATGAATCACTAGTATTTGCAATTGATTACAAATGAGGCCCTTTATTGAAGGGTATGCCATGGCTTGATGTAACAAATATACATCATATGGAGTATGTTATTTGTTATATGGTGAAAATAGGAAGAATCATTGTTTACGTGTTCGTTTGATCGGAAGGACCATATTTGGTGGGCGACGGAGGTCAGAAAGAACATTGTCCGGTGATGGAGGTCAGAAGGACCGTTATTTGGTGGGTGATGAAGGTCAGAAGGATCATAGTAGGCGGGCGACGAAGGTCCGAAAGACCGTAGTCAGCAGGCGACGGAGGTCGGAAGGACCGTAGTCAGTGAGCAACAAAGGTTGGATGGACCGTTGTCTGGCGACGGAGGTTGGAAGGACATCATCTGCTAGAAGTCTGACGGAAGTCCAACGATGGGCTGAAGTCCGGCGTATGGTAGATGTCCGTTGATGGATAGAAGACCAGCGATGGATAGAAGTCTGACATTAGATAGAAGTCCAATGAAAATCTGGTGACGGGCATAAGTCTGACGTCGGGTAGAAGTCCTGAGTACTCAGTTAAAAGTTTGTCGAAAGTTTGGTGATGGGCGGAAGTCCAACGTCGGGTAGAAATCTGGCAACGGCCGGAAGTATGGCGTTGGGTAGAAGTCCGTCGAAGGACAAAAGTCTGATGAAATCTGACGCAGGGCATAAGTCCGACGTCGGGTAGAAATTCGACGAAGGCTCATCCGACGCCAGTCGATGGCCGGGCATAAATCCAACATCAGTTGGTGCTCGGGAAAAAATCTGACATCAGTTGGTGGCTGGGCAAAAATTAGGCTCTCATTGGTAGCCGGGTGAAAATCCGGCGATAGTTGTTGGCCGGGCTAAAGTCTGGCAGTGGTCGAGAAGGAGTCTAGTGGCAAGAGAACTCTTCCTTCTCTTCTTGCTTGGACCTCCCTCTTCCTCCCCACCCCCACTAATGAGAAATGAGGGGCCTATTTATAGTTTTCTGAGAGTGTCATGGCCAGTAAATAGTAGGAATATCAAAGGTAAATTAGGAGTGGTTTGAATGAACGATTGATGTTTAATCCCTTGATCATGGACCGTTTACTTGACATTTGAATGTCTTAACTATATCAGAATTTTATGATCTTGGGCTCGTTGGATCGTCTCATCGAGCCGCTAGATCAACTATAGGCATGCATGTTTGAAAACTATTTGGTAATCCAAATTATGGATTGAACCTTCCAAATGTAATTCGGGTCCTTGATTTGATCCATTTGGACTTGACTTGAGTCGAATTTGGTGCCATTGGGTTTGTATTTTTAATGCATTCAATTCACCTATAAGTTTTTTGAAATTAGAGTTCAGATGGTCCTTGATTTAATTTCGGAAGTTTCCAACTTGATTTTGCCTCGTGATTTGTGACCGGTCAAGATAATTTTTTATGATAAATTATACATATATTTTAAATATTATTTGATTTGAGTGCTTCTGTATTATGAAATTTGTGAATTAGTGAACTTTCCATATAGGTGAAGTATTTGTAAAAACTTCTTTGATCGGCATGAACCTCGACATATTATTTTATATTGAATAGTTTTGGAATTAAATCTAGAAACATTCAAATTCCAATTTTAATAAATTTATAATAAAATCAAACATCTTGGTAATAAGAACATAACATCAAAGGTGATTCAATATGAGATGAGCAATGGTTGAAAATTTCAAGAATTAATTGAATGAATAAATACTCTCCAGATCTTATATGGTTGTAGACAAGTCGAGCAGCTCGATAAGACAAATTTACACACATATCACATATGCACATATGCAAGGTTCGAACACAATACATCTTAGTTCATAGCTAAAATTCCTAACCAACAGATCTAGGCGAACCGCGTTCAACCTGAAAGCTAAACATCTTAACCATATAATTTAACCACTACAGGAAAATCCGCAATTACCGACGGACAGAACACGCCGGTAATGTAAAATTTTGAAGGAAACATTACTTTTCCATCGCATTTCCATCGGATTTACATACGACGATAATTTCCGCGTCGATAAAAAATTCCAGACGTAAATAATACACCGGAAATCTTTCCGGCGTACTTTTCGATGCACAACCGGCGGAAAAATAGATGGTAGTTACGTCACTTCATCTTCACTTATTCCGGCATTAAATAGGTCGAAATTACCAGCATAAAAATTTG